TTTTATAAAATAATAATAATATACATATACAACACATACAAAATAGTGTACAAGGTATAGTAAACGAAATTACATTTTGATATCGAATTGAACTAGTTGAGAACGATTAATTTCCACTCTTCTAACGTAAATATAATAACCCATATATACTTATATAATATACACGTATAAGTACGTACTATACATTGTCATGTTATATATATATATATAACGTTCCTTTATACTCTGACATCATAAATGCTTCGTGAAACAGACGTCTCTATGACGATATTAAGGTCAGTTAAATGACAAAGCTTTTGGATGTGACCTAGATAGTTGCTTGCACCATGTTACATATGATATATATATATATATATATATGTGTATGTGCAAGCACATACAGTTATAATCAAAAGCCTTTTGAAAAGCAAACGGAATAATTTGCGAATATTTCCTCAAACGTGTTCCAAATCTACCAACTACTACCCCCCTGTTGTTACCCCACCCCCCTATCCACCATCTACTCTTATCCCTTTCAACAATTAGTCTCAATGGAAACGTTATCATAATATATATATATACACACATACATACAAATACATATTATATATAGATAGAATAATAGATAGAACACGATTGGCTTTTGAAATAGACTCGAGGGTACGATAGAAACCGAATTGCTTTCGATCCTTCTTTTTATTTTTATTCTACTTTTCTATCTTTTTTTTCTTTTTTCATTCTCACTAGCGAATATATTTGAGAAAAGTGTATCATCATTCATTATTATTCTTCATTTTTGTAAGTGTTAATACTATTTAATCGGATTCAGGTTTTATTGTACTTGTTTGAAGGGGGTGGGGAGGGTGGGGGAGGAAGAAGAAGAACCCAAACGAAATATTTGTTCCCAGTACCCCCATTCCTTTCCCATGAACTTAGTTTTTCGTCAAACTTTCGTATTAGTTCGGTAGGAAGAAATAAGAGAGGACGGAAAGAGAAAGAGAGAGAGAGAAAGAGAGAAAGGTTCTGAAAGTAATACTCGTGTCTTGCTAGGAACGTATTTCTACTCGTGATTCGAAAGTTTTTGAACGAATGGTCGGTTGGACGATACTCAGGAAACGTCGATACTTTTGACTCGGTTCTTGGGGGGCCCCATCCATGAGGTCGAGTTTCTCTTCCTCTTTCTTTATTTCTTTCTTTTCTTCTTCTTCTTCTTCTTCTTCTTCTTCGTTATAGTTTTTCTATTTCTTTTCGCGGTGGAACGCGTATAGTCGTTCCAAGTTTCTTTTCCGGTGTTTCAACTTATTTCCGATAAGTACAAAACCTTTAGTTACGTGTCGTAAGAAAAACTATAGAGTTACGTGGTTATTCTTGCGAAAGTAATCGTTGACACAAGTGGACATAATAATAAAGAAGAAACAATATCATCATTTTTTAAATAATATATATATATGTAAAGTTGTATCTTTTTTTAGGATTATTAATTGTATGTATAACTATATATATTTTAATCGTTGACATAAGTGGACACACTATAATAAAGAAGAAACAAAATAATTATTTTTAAAATATTATATATGTAAAGTAATATCTTTTTTTTAAGATTATTAAGTATAACTATTTTAATCGTTAACACAATAATCATTTTAAAATTTAAATTAAAAGTTAAATTAATAATCATTTTTTAAAATATTATATATGTAA